CAGGAGGGATAGGAGCCAGCCCCAGGGCTTTTTGAGGTGGCCAAGAGGGGATGAGGGGGCACAGGGACTATCCCTGGGGGGTTCAGAGGGACAGGGACTCTCTTCCAGGGGTCTCTGGGGGATGGGGACCATCTTCCAGGGGGTTCAGAGGGACGGGGACCATCTTCCAGAGGTCTTGGGGGGACGGGGACCATCTTCCAGGGGTCTCGGGGGGACGGGGACCATCTTCCAGGTGTCTCAAGGGGATGGGGACCATCTTCCAGGGGGTTCAGGGGGACAAGGGCTGTCTCAGGGGGTTCAGGAACCATCCCCAGGGGGTTCAGGGACCATCCCCAGGGCATTTAAGGGGAAGGGCCATCCCCTGGGGGCTCGGGGGGGACAGGGACTGTCCCCAGGAGATTCAGGAGGTCAGGGACTGTCCCCAGGGGGCTTGGAGGGGGCAAGGAACCATCCCCAGGGTGTCCCCAAGCCATACCCCTCTGCCCGCAGCTGAAGTGGTGTGCCTGGATCGCCGTCTACTGCTCCTTCATCAGCTTCGCCAACTCCCGCAGCTCGGAGGACACCAAGCAGATGATGAGCAGCTTCATGTGAGTGCCCCGGGGTGACGCGTGCCCCGCGGAGGAGACGGCGGGGAGACCACCCCGGGTTTGCAGGGGGGGTCTCTGAACCCGGGGCTGGTGTCTCTCCCCCTCTCCAGGCTCTCCATCTCGGCCGTGGTGATGTCCTACCTGCAGAACCCCCAGCCTATGTCCCCCCCGTGGTGACGACGGCCGGTGTCTGGGGGGGGTGGCTCATCGCAGGCGAGGCGGCGCGTTGTGTCGGGGCCGGGACAATTAAAGGGGGATGCTGGGGCAAAGCTTGGGGTCGTTGTGGTTTGCATGTACCTGCGTGGGTGGATCCTGCTCCCAGCCATGGGGTTGGCGGGCAGATGGGGGAGGAATGGACCCCCCCCAGGCTTGGGGGGAATTGGGGGGAGGGATGGGGGGGAGAGGGGGGGGGGGAACGGGGGGGTGCGAGGGCTGGGGGAGCCCCTGAGGATGAGGGGGAGCCTGGAAGGGGCCTGAGGGGAGCCCCGGGTGGCTGAAGGAAGGCAGGGGGGTTTGAGGGGAGCCTGGGAGGGCTGAGGGGAACCCCAAGGGTGCTGAGAGAGGCCTAAAAAGAGCCCCAGGTGGCTGAGGGGAGGTTGGGGGGCTCCAAGGGGAACCCCAAGGGTGCTGAGGGAGGTCTAAAGGGGGCCCCTGGTGGCTGAGGGGAAGTCGGGGGCTCCAAAGGGGCCCCCAAAGGTGCTGAAAGAGGTCTAAAGGGAGCCCCAGGTGGCTGAGGGGAGGTCGGGGGGCTCCAAAGGGAACCCCAAAGTTGCTGAGGGAGGCCCAAGGGTAGCCTGAGGGGGGACAGGGGGGTCTGAGGGGAGCCCTGGGCGGCTGAAGGGAGGCTGGGGGGGTCTAAGGGGAGCCCCAGAGTGTGTGAGGGGAATCCCGGGGGTGTGAGGGGGGCAGGGGCAGGTCTAGGGGGAGACCCCGGGGCAGCCAGAGCCGAGGCGTCCCCTCAGCACCTACCGGCGCCATGGCTCCCGTGAGGGGCCCGGCTCCTCGACGCCCCATTGGCGGAGAGACCTGCCCGTCTCGCGCTCTTCGCCTACCACGGCTCGGCGGGGGCGGGGCTTCGGAAGCCGCCACGCGCCATTGGCTACCGGGCGCTCTCCCCCCGCGGGAGAGACCGTTGCCCAACGCCCGCCCTGGGGAGGCGGGATTCGAGGTGTCAATCATGGGCGCTCCTCCTTCTCATTGGCGCAAATCCGTTATGTCGCCGCCTGCCGTTACTCCCCTCGCCGTCCATTGGCTCCCGCTTGCGCAGAGGGCGGGGCCGAGCTGAGGAGTCCCCCTCGGGTCATGTGGACGGGTGGTCACATGACCGTGCCCGCGAGCGGCATGGCGGTGCCCGGGGCGGCGGCGCTGCTGCTGCTGCTCGGGGCGGCGGCGGCCGCAGGCTGCGGGTACCAGGTGGGCCCGGGGGAACGGGGCCGGGGGGAGGCTGGAGGGGGCCTGGAGTGTCCTGGGGAAACGGGAACTGGGAGGGACTAAGGGAACTGGGAGGCACTGGGGACACTGGGGCGGACTGGAGGAGATGTGGACTGGGAGGGACTAGGGGAACTGGGAGGTGCTGGGGACACTGGGGTGGACTGGGG